CTACGCAGTAGTTTTTGGTTGGTGCCCTTTTAAATATGGAGAGCAATAAGCAGCATTTTCGTCATATTTTACTTTTTTACTTCAGAAAAGGTAAAAATGCTGTCCAAGCGAGAAAAAAATTGACGGATGTGTATGGAGAAGGCGTGTTAACAGTACGCCAGTGCCAGAACTGGTTTGCAAAATTTCGATCCGGCAATTTTGATGTCGAAGATGCACCACGGTCTGGAAGGCCGGTCGAAGCTGACAAAGATGCGATAAAGGCATTAGTTGATGCAAATCGGCGAATAACCACACGAGAGATCGGTGAGAGATTAAATTTGTCGAATTCGACTGTTTATGGCCATTTGAAAGGCATGGGCTTATTCTCGAAGCTCGATGTGTGGGTACCCCATGTCCTTATGGAGCGAAATTTGTGTCGTCGCGTTGACGTGTGTGATTCGCTCCTCAAACGTCAAGAAAATGATCCATATTTGAAGCGGATTATTACTGGGGACGAAAAATGGGTTGTATACAACAATGTTAAACGCAAGAGGTCATGGAGCGGAAAAGATGAACCGGCTCAAAGCGTGTCAAAAGCCAACATTCACCAAAAAAAAGTGATGCTCTCCGTTTGGTGGGATGTCAAAGGAATCGTTTTTTTTGAGCTTTTGCCGGACAATACAACGATTAATTCAGAAGTCTATTGTCATCAACTGGACAAATTGAATGATTCACTTAAAGAGAAGAGGCCCGAATTAATCAACAGGAAGGGTGTAGTGTTCCACCAGGATAATGCGAGACCTCACACAAGTTTGGTCACTCGCCAAAAACTTTTACAGCTTGAATGGGACGTACTGCAACATCCACCATATTCTCCAGATCTGGCGCCTTCCGACTACTATTTGTTCCGGTCCCCGCAAAATTTTTTGGATGGCAAAACCTTTACCTCAAATGAAGATGTCAAAAACCACCTGAACTAGTTTTTTGCCAGCAAGGACCAAAACTTTTATGAGAGGGGAATTATGTTACTGCCAGAAAGATGGCAAAAGGTGTTGGACCAGAATGGCCAATATATAATTTAATAAAATATTTATTCATTATACGAAAACTGTCTTTCATGTTCCCCAAAAAAAACGAAATGACTTTCCGAACAACCCAATATATCGAGTTTTTTTTTTCGATTTATGACTATTTTTTCGTGTTTTAGAAGCTGTATTTTGACGTCATTTCCAACAGCTATAATTTTATTACCGTACCGATTTTATAGAGAAATACAGATATTTAAACAATACTTGCCTTGAAGTTGGTTGGAATCGTTTATACTTCCATGCATTACTCTTATTAATGGTCTTTCAATATTATTGGGCATTCCCTATACCTAAGCTTAGTATTTCATGGGCATACACATAAGTCAAGAAAAATAAAAACAAATTGGAAATTTTTAATTTTTTGAAAAAAATGTTTGTCTTCTGTCCATTAATTTAAAAATTCTACCTTTCTGAAGGGGCACAGTATTATGGAACTATAAACAATGTTTTCAAATCGCCTCTTTTGTATTAATTTTCTCAACTAATTTATTATTAGTTGCCTAACTTGTAACTAAACGATGAATTTTCCGATGGAAGTAGTAGTCGACATGATTTTCGTACAAGGATATAGCGAGAAGAATGCATTATTAGCTATGAGAATTTGCAAGCAATAGTATCCCGATAGAAGGGAGGAACTCTTCAGAATTTGATGAATCGTTTTACTAGAACTAGAAGTTTTGTTTATGGAAAGAACGAAAACCTCAAGACTGTTATGAACGAGGAAAATGAATTTCTAGTATTAGTTTGTGCCACAGAAAACCCACATCAAATATTCCAAGACTAAGAATTCTGTGAATAATATTTTATAAAAAAATAAGATGTATCCTTATCATATACAACACACAAGAAAGAATTTTTGAGCAAGATAATTTTCTCGAATAAGTGTTATTTACAGATGGATCGACATAAAAAAGGTTGTTAATAAGCATAACTCTGCTAACAATAGACCCCATTTTGTGAAGACACACGGGCAGGAAAAAGGCCTTTAAATGTTTGGAGTGGCATAATAGCAAATAAATTTCTAGGGCCTCTTTTTTGTGCAAATACAGTGAATGAGCAAGTTTACTCAGAGTTTTAAGAACAGAGACTGCAAAATGCGTTAAGAACTATTCATGATGGAGCTCCTACGCTACATGCTCATCAAGTTACAAACTACTTAAATAATTTATTTCCTCAATGATTGAATAGAAAGAGGTGGTCCGATTAGATGGCCACCTTATCTAAAAAAAATGGACTATTTTCTGTGGGGACATGTTAAGCACCAGGTGTATAAAACTGATCCACAACAAAAAAGGAAATGAAATAGAGGATACGAGAGGCCTTTGAAAGTGTCATCAAATAAAATAAAGTGAAACCCAATTAAACATATTGTTTTTGTTTTGCAGTTTTGTTCTTAGTTTTCAGGTGTTTTGCTGGAACCATAATTATTTATATTTTATATTTGTTAAATTCTTAAGGGAGGGGAATGCTTTATAAAGTTCAAATAACATTAATAGGAGTAGTATTTAATTTTTTAAACGAAAATTAATCATTTTCATTTTGACTCACCCTGTATAAACAATTCGAACTAACTTCGAGAAAAGTATGTGATAAATGACTGTACCACCTTATAAAATTGTTGGCACAATAAAATTCCAGTTATCGGAAATGGCGACGAAAATACAGCGGTATTAAGCACATTTCATTTTTGACGAAAAAATCCAAAACACAAATCCAAAAACGCTCACTAGAGACCATAGCAACCCTACATTAAGTGATTGAGTGTAAAAAGTATCCGTTAATGACATAACGTAAGTTTGATTTCACACATGTTTATCAGTCCACAACTTTTGTATTTAACATTTTTTTCTAAAGCAAATAATAAACAATATATACTATTTTGACGCAGTATTTGCGCACAATATGTGGTGTGCGAATTTCAAGTGGAACTTCAGTATTTTACTGTGATAAAATGAGAGATTCAATATTCAACGAAATTAGTTGTATTTTGATCCTCTTTAGAGTTAAAAGCATAAATTGAGAATAAAGGAATTTAAAAAATAACCACGCGACAGCATTAACAGTTCAATTTAGTTATTAAGGCTCTGTGTCGAGAGTTTCATTTTGTTGTGTGATAACTAAGCTAATTTTTCTATCTATTGAACCAATTTATAATGTTGATATATAGCCCTGTCATTCGCAATACTGATATTGGTATTTGTTTACGTTATTTTTAAATATGAAATTTGCAACATTTAACATAACTCCTTTTTAATTTAAGTTAACTCCTAATTATTTTAAGTCAAATACCATAAAATCATGGACGAATCGCTCTTTAATTTAAAAAGCAAAATACAAGAGGTTTAAGTCAAAACAATTTTATATTTTGCCAAATGTGCATAATTTTGTTTGTAACTTAACTTAAATCTCATACCATAATATCAACCAAAATTCCATTGACACACCGTAAAAAATTTTCGCGTTATTTGGCTAAAAGGTGGAAATTTTTTAGCTATGTAAAACAATAATAAATTATTATTTTTTCCCAAATTAGCTATAAAAAAGCTGGCGTCTGAAATAGTTGCGATGTCACAAATATTTTCGAGGTTAATATTCCTGTTTGCGATATTTCCAGTGGTGCCAACAAACACACGCATTGAAGTTTTTGTTTTCAAATTATTACAATATCTCGTTCAAATTAATATAATTAAAACTTTTATTTAAGGATTTGTTGTGATATTTGGCAATCCGAAACTGCAAGTATGCAACAAGTTCGAAAAAAGCTACTTTAGTCACGAGTTTGATTTCGTTCATAATTGGCGTCGAAAAAAGTTTATAGGGCGAATAAATACACTATGACGTGGATGAGAATTTACAATCTTCAACATCATGTATTTTTGTCTAAAAGAAAGCATAAAATGAGAAAATAAATTTGTGGAAGGCACTTATTTCTTTGTTTGCTCAATAAAACGTTTTTGTTGTAGCATTAAAAATGCATTTGGTTAACAGGTTTTGTCTAGGTCAATTTTTTTTATTATTTCATTTTTTATTCCTTTCTACAATTTCGGGTACCACACTACTCCCACTACAGCTTTTTGAGAATCTGTTACCTATTTTTCATGTTTTGTTTTGTTTAAAAGAACTAATATGTTCTAAATTTCTTTTTAAAATTTCTTTAAAATTCTTATTCTAATTTTCTTTTTAAAAAGTTTACCGAGCGTGTTGCATACTATACTTTTTCTAATCCTATCTATAAAATACCTAATTACACAACTATCTAGCGTGCGGGAAGCGTCACTTTACCACGTCAGTTTCCTTCCCACGGATCCGAGCCACTTCGGACATTTCCAGGATTTTACCGCACGAGTTTGGGAGCAATCGGATGTTTTCGGAGATTTTTCCCACGCTTTGAATTTTGACGTTTGTCAATTCTGACAGTCATGTCAGTGAATGTATTCGTGTTTTGCGAAAATGTACCCAAAAACTTAACGGTCGTAGAAAAAGTATAGTATGCAACACGTTCGGTAAACTTTTTCACTCACTCGTTTATTAAACACTCGCTCCACTCTTCTCAAATAAACTCGTGAGTCCAATGGCGTTTACCACACTTGTTGCATAATATACTATTAAACCTAACTTAGCTTTTTTTATTAGTCTATTTTTTTCTTTTGGTTATCTGATTTCAATTTTCACTATTTTTGATTAGAAATTATAGAAATTCAAAAAAAAATCTTAACGATTCAAATTACAAAATTGAAATGTGGGTTACAAGTTCAAAAATGGACTAGACTAAAGGTAAAATTAAACCAAACGACAAACTTTCGTGTGGACAACTTTGCTTGTCTGTATATCTGTATAATCTGAATAATATTTTTCAGCCCTGTGGCACCACAAGACAACTTTGTTTACTTTTAATAAAAAAGGTTATTTTCAAATTTACTTTATTCGATTTAGTACATTCCATTATAAAAACTCTTAAAATCAATGGACAAAAACTATTATTTCATAACTGCTAACCTAATTACAACAATGAAAAAATATTTACACCTAGAAGTACAATACATTCTTCACTATTTGTATTAACATTGTGTACAGTACGTAATAAACAAGCTCATGAACCTACTACACTATTATTGGAATGAAATGAAAATTAAAACTGCATTTTGGTGTAAGGAAAGTAAGGCAATTTTAATTTAACACAGTAACGCAAAAACAAGTCGGAGTCCGCAAATATAAACAGATCAAACACATCCGCAGTACTTTGTTCACTCCGTATATCACGTGGAAAACACTCATTATTTAAATTACACACTATGCAACATGTGCTTCGTGGTCAAGCATTAAGTAACTGTATCTCGAACATGCGAGGTGGAATAAGTGCATTCTCAACGCTGATAACCCTATTTAGAATTAATAAATTACGAGCTTTTGTACCTATGTATATCGAGGGAAACCGATAAGTTGAAAACCCCGACGTAAATATACTATATACACCAAATACAATATCATATGATTTAAAACAGCCACTCTCGTTTAATACATTTTCCCCAACAACTTTTTTTGGAAATATTTCATTTACATTGCGAGTAACGGTCCCTTTCAAATATCTACAAAGAATGTATCTACAAGAAAACGGAATTGTAAAAAAGGAACATAAACAATCATAATTCTTACTCTACGTTTCAAAACAATAAAGCTTATAGGACACTATCACTTTACAATCAATTAAAATACTGATGTCAATGTCACTCCAGTTCTCATTGTCCACTTTCCGCAGAAAAAATAACTCCTAGAATTGATTCTCGCACTCACCCATGTGGGATGTCACATTATCTGCTCATTATGTCTGCAATAGTAAAACCAGTCTTCTTCGGAGGAGGCCTCGGAGCTACCGCGGGGACTTCTTCCTTTTTCATGCTCAAATCACTTGGAATGTTGCTGGGTGACACGTTGCCCATACTAGGCTTTGACGGGCCCGGTACGCCCATCATCGGTGAGCCGTCGGGTGGTTTAAGCACGTTGGTAGGAGGAATTCCGATAGTTTGAACCATGGAAAGGTTCTGGGGGGCTGGGTACTGATGATGAATATTCATCCTGAGATTCATTGGCGGCGTTATCGGTCGCTGGTGCGAATAGGATGGCGTCCTAGGCCTCGCGGAACCAAGGAATGGGTTGGTGGAACACCCGGGCCGATCTTGGTCGAACCCGCGCTTTCTAAACGCTCCGAGGAAGTTGTGCTCCATAGTTTTGCTGGTTACGGTGCTCGGCTTTGCTAGTAAGTCTCTTCTGATTTGGAGTTGCGGCATGGGCGATGGGGCGGGTCGGATGTTGACGGGTTCTGGCGGGTCGTTTATCACATCCGGACAGTCTTCTTGACCTGGATCTATCTCGGGATCTTCATCGTCGTCTTCGTCGTCCTCTATTTCATGTCTGTAATCCAGTTTGTCTATCACTGATGGACGCATAGTGTATGGGCTCGAGGTACTACGAGGTTCGTGGCAATGGGTTCGTTCCGGAGTTGGCGAGCAGACTCGGATACTACCATCGTCTCTTGATTCTTGTGAAGGTGATCTATAAAGAAAACAAATTTCAACCAAAATATCTTTCAGCAGCTGATGGTAAAATGAGTCAGCCGGATTAGGATGCATAAACAAATGACATTTTTTGCAAACCTATCAGGTCCAAACGTTAGACTTGTTCAGCTGTAATCTGGTATCCTTAAATAGTTACATCATCAAAAAATTAGTTCTCAGTATTCGAGATTGCAACTTAATTTACTACATAGATAAATAGCTCTTTGACTTATTGCACGTACTTGACTGGTTTTCCAGTCGTAAACGTCTTTCATTTGATTTGACATCTTCTGCATTTGTGTTTTGCATTTCGCTATGCCTTTTGGTTTTGCGTCTGGGAAACTGGGTATTCAAAATCGAGGATACACCGTTGCGTAGCGGCAGCTTTCGACCCTTCTGGGTCGCATAATTTTGGCGAAGAAGTCAAACGACTATTTGATTCAGTTCTGTGAGATAAATTATAATCCGTTTACATCGAGTGGGACAATTTGCACTGGCCCTCGAGATTTTTCATGATCATCACACAAATATTGGAGTGTATATACAGAGTCTATCGTCTGTTCACTAAAAGTTTAATGAGAAGTAATTTAGAATCGCCATACAAAAATATTTTCAACGTCCTGTCACTTGCGGTTCAACCGGAAGTCACTATCAAGTTGCTTATTTCAAATGGAACACAACATTAATTATTATATTTGGAGATTCTGTGTTAAATTCGAAACATATGTTATGAATATTTTGTTTTTGAAATATAAAAATTGTGCCTACAATTTAACCAACTTTGAAAATGCATATTTTTGTAGTTTTTGAAAATTTAATCCTCATATTAGGAAAAATGTTAAAAAATGGGTCGTAATTTGACATTTTCCTCATTTTCATTGTCCACATTAAAGCAGTCCAATTTAGTCCTCAAAAATTCACATTTTCAAAGTCGCTAAACGAGTTTTTTTATTGAAACATTAAGTATTATTAACTTCAGGATTTACTTGTCTATCACACTACATTAGGGTTATTTCGAAACCTATTCTAAATAATTAGGTTTAATTATAGTATCTTAATTGTTTGCCTGCAAATTTTCACTTCAAGTACTTCGCCATGGAAAAACAATAATTGTGTTGTTGTCAAACAAATAATTAGTAGAATAACAATTGTCTTTCCATAGCCAAGTACGTGAAGGGAAAATCTTTAACCGAACAAATACCATACGATCAAAAAACCTAATTATTTGGAATATGGTTCGGAATAGGTATGTATACGTAATTCTAATTCAGTATGATAGAGAAATAAGTCCCGGACAAGATAACACTTAAAGTTATAGTCCCATATGAACAGCGACTTTGAAAATGTATAAAAGTAGACAATAAGAATAACAAAGGTTACAAAAATATGTATCTTCGAAGCCGGAGCTAGCAATGTAAGTTCAAATATTTCAAAAACATTTAGAAATAAGGATGGGACATTATACATTAAATATCTTTAGAATTTCACGCAGAATCTCAAAATGTAATAAAATATGGTTGTGCCATTTGAAATAAGCACGTTGATAGCAAGTTCCGGTTGAACTGGAAGTGACAAGGCGTAGAAAATATATATGAAGAGAAATACACAACTTACCTCCACCACAAAAAATTAAAAGCGTTTATACGAATGTCAAAATTAGAACAAATCAATATGTGGTTTGACTGATGTAACAGTTTTCATGCTTGTTCAGAATATGATTCATTTTTATAAAAATACCGTTTGAAAAGCAACTTTAATTCGGACTATAGAATTTCTGATAATTTTCACTCACGTCTGAATATTTCCATGTAAAAATATAATGATACCCATTACTTCTCTAAGTGGCGAATAAAAATCAACAAAGCAACACAAGATTTAATATTAATATTAATAATGGATTTTTATTGCAATGCACAAATACCCTCAAAAACAAGCAATACGTAAAATTAACATAACGTCACAAAACCGTTTTATAGGATTATTACTTTACTAATAGAATTTCTTGCGATTTATTATATAACTTAATACGCATATAATAAGGGCTGCTTTCAGTTACAGTTAATCGATGGTGTGGATATAAAAAAAAGTTCTAGTGCTATACAATGTTATGAAATGTTACCTAGTTTCCTGAAAACTCCTCTACATGATTGTAAATAATTTAAACTTTTTAATTTTCTTTTCTTGGCTCTAAACACTTTTTGTATCACGAAGTTACTGCCCCAGATGATTACATCATACCTCGTGAGTTTGACTATCCATAACTCACAGTTACAAGCTTTAAACATTGTTTCTGTTTCTCTATTTAAAGTAGTTTCGCGAAAGTTTAAGTAATTTGATGAAGTTAGTTTATTCTGTTTATTTTCGAAAAATAATCACGTCAGTTTTCTTTTTATTTAGTAAAAGTTCATTTCCATTAAACAACCTGCTATCGTATGCTTTACCTACATCCAACAAGATGGTCCAAAATTGCCACGAACAACAACTAATTATTGTGATCAACTAATTATTTAAAAAAAAAATGAAAAACTTGACAATAAGTCAATGGGTCTATAGTTATTTGAGCCCCAGGCACTCCTTTTTGGGTGCAGTGGTTTGATTCTAGCTAACTTATACTTTTCATCTCATCTTCACTACTACTCTATTTGATTTTTTAGTTCATTAGATATTCCTACAAGAATAGGAAAATAACGTCAAATTTCAATATCAGATATGTAAGCTAACGATAAAAAGTGTAAACAAATTTTTCAGCTGACCTTCAGGTTCCCGAAGACTTTTCTAAACCTATCCTAAGCCTACCTTGGTCTGGGAGACATCCTTTCTCCATCCTCATCTCCGCCAGGAATAAAACCATCGCCAAGCCCATCAGCAGGAACATCTCCCACAGCGTGAGTCAAAGCGTGTCTCCTCAAATCGCAATTCCGTCTAAACACCTTGCCGCAGCTGTTGCACTCGTAAGGTTTGTGGTCCGTGTGGGTGAGCAGATGGGTTTTCAAATTGGACCGTTGGTTGAACGATCTCGAGCATACTTGGCACTTGTGAGGGGACTCCTCCATGTGGAGGATCTTGTGAACCGCCAACGTTCGCGACTGACAGAATCCTTTTCCGCACTCGTTGCATTTGAAAGGCTTCTCCTTCGAATGGATGTATCTGAAATAATAACAACAGTTGGGTTTTGTTTTTTTGATATATACTATTCAAGTTTTAAAACACTTTACTTGATGTATCTAGATTAATGTACTAGTACTGGAACAATCGGTTGTTACAGCCCGGAAACAGCCCCTTAGCAGAGCTTATCACTTTTTCAATTTTTTACTTTCATCTCTTAACGACGTGGTTAAATAATGATCAACTAGTTCTTGAAATTTCCTATTTTTTAAAAAAAGCGAGTATAGCAGGAAGCCTCAGGAATGCAGTGGAAATTCAAATAAAATATGTCACGAAATTTTTGCCCAAGCATAGAAATGATCCTGCAGGCTACAAACTTACTTTCACCAGAATTGGTATTGTTTACATTAGTTTTCAGGACAAGTATTTTTATGTTTTACTTTGGTTAGTTTGCTATGTGAAGAAAATTTCTATATACCATATTTGTTAGCAAGTTTTTATTGTCCTCTATCGTCACATTGTTTCTGTTGTCTTAAAATCGTTTTAGCGTTAAATAAGCTTTAGGAATGCCACCAGATATTGTAGATAAATGCGGTTTCCTCCCAAACAGCTAGTTTATATGACTGATAATTTAATGATATTCATTACATTAAGTGATATTAAATTAAATTTTAGCCCTCCGTGGTAGTTTTTGTAGTCTAGCTGGTTCTACTAAATAATTTGATATGTATGACTAAAAATCTGCCCGTGCAAATTTGAGATCTGCTTCAAGCTGAACTGGTCTTTGTTTCTCATAATGAGGTATATTTTTTTAGTACAACACTTCTAAATATTTATCCTACAACCACAGATATGCAAAAAAAATTCGTTCCAAATAATATTGCTTTACCGCGAGATGACTAAGACGGTTATATAAATAATTTTCGAAGAACGGAGATAGGATCGGAACTGCTATTTGTATATGACTGGTCTAGTTTACTTGGATGTTGCCTACCTACGGGTTTGGTTCGAGATAAAGCGTTTGATAAATTAGCTCCGGGTTGTCAGATCCATTATTTCAGTCCCTTTGCATGTATCAGATAAGAAACCTTACCGATTTTAACTCCGTGTAACCGATAGTGGGTGAATCCCACCATATCTAGTAATTCGGTTAACTAAAAATTTTAACAGAAACGTTTTTCAGTGAGGTTTTGTAAATATACTAAGCGATAAGGCAAGGCAAAAAAACTCAGCATAAAGACACCAAGATGAATTATTCAACACCATTATCAATTTTTTTATAGGTTTTCGATACTTGGTAGTGCAGGAAAACAACTGATTTCAAAGTGACCCTGCTTGTTTGGTGTCGGCAACATCCTCTTATACATCGCTGCACCCTGTACCAGTATAATGTTAAGAGAAAATAATCTAATAATCTAATAATTTTATGCACAAAAAAATAATTTAGTCGCCACATATTAAAAAATATTAAGTGAACGTGAAAAACAATCAATGAAATGATAATTTTCTCCTATATAATTCATTTACTTTACGATATATCAAGAGATGAGCCCGAGCTGTTAGAAAATTACACACCTATTTGAGTTGACATTTGAGTTAGTATTGAGCAACAGATTGGTGGACCTTCTAAGTGACTGCAATCTTTTCACTAAGGAGCAGCATAGGCTTTTAAAAGGAAAGTCAAAGCAGACAGCAACTTTTTATTTCATTGACAACGTCTTCAAACACGTTGAAAAATTTTTTTTAACTCTTGGAATGCTTCTGGACTTATCCAAGGTGTAGAATGTTTATATAGGCAACTTATTATACTAAAACGGTATTAAATGAAATGCAAAACAATTGTAACAGTAATAAACGATAATAGAAGAGTTAACTCAATGATGTTACAAAGTAATCTAGGTATTGCACAAGGGAGCATACTAGGGCCAACCCCTTTTTTGTTTTTTATGAACAATTTAAACCTGTTGCTCCATAATGGTCAAAACAAACGCGTTATTAAGTATGCAGACCACACTAATTTAATTATAGGTAGTAAAATGCTTTCAGATGGGTTCACAAAGAATAAATTAATTCAAAAAATAAGACTAATATTAGGATAAATAGGATAATTATGAAAATTTTTTGAGAGTTGCAGATCTGATATTGAAAGTTTAGGTATAATAACGGCCCAAGCAGCTTATAATGTTTCTTTGTAACAAAAAGAGTATATTCAATTCTCTCCCAATAAGTTTGGGAGAGGGGACACAATTTAAATGTCCACTAAGAGAGTTGCTAATGGATTGAGAACCATACACTCTAAGCGGCTTTTTTCCCAATTATTAAACTCTTTTTGACGTAATTTTATTTCGTGCTTCATTATATCACAATTTGCAATAAAATATTTATTTATTAAATAAAAAAAATTAATTTTCTAAATCCTCCATACGGAAAACATCATCGTTTTCATTCTTTACATTGCCATTTGGTACATTTGAAACAGAATGCGGCGTTGCCAAGTAATTCTTTCCAATAGTTGCCAATTCGACTTGCTGGGTTATCCATATCCATATCACGTTTTATGAGTATATGAAGCTACAATTTATATGATACTTATATTTTTGTCTTTATTATAGGGCATTTGCACATATTGTTTCTACGCACTTAAATTCTAAAAATCTACTGAAAAAGACATCAGTCAACGTCCGGAAACTTTACCATAGCAAATAAAAAATCCACTAATAATACATATTTTTTAATGCAAAATTTGTCTTCAGGTTTTTCCAAAACATCAGAGGCTATTGCAGCTAACTTTGGAATCATTTCAAAAATCAATCTTGTGTCGATTCTTTAGCAAGGATTCACTAAAAGTATAATATATATATTCTTCAGTTTGAAAAAGGTCAAAGGAAATTTTTAAAATTTCTAGCTTTTAAGGGTGATGGTATATTTCCACAGAGATGCTTTTCTTCTAATGTTCTCTTAAGGCGATTCGAAATACAATTGTTTACATTTAATTTATTTACTTAATGGTACAAAATTCAATTTCCAATATTCCACCCAGCACTTTCCTCCACAAATTCTTTAGTTAAAAGTCCACCCTTGCAAAGCAATGAACATTTTTAATTGTAATTGTTAATGATTTAACACCGGCCCATTTTACTTTGGCATTTAAAAATTTTTACGTTCAAGTGATTATTATAGATACTGTCTTTTCATTTTTTTTGGCTTGGCCTACTATACTTAATGAAATAATTGTCTTGTTATTGGATATTATATCCGTTAGACAATATAGCCTATTATAATAATAATAATTATTATGTTTTCCACAGGACTTTCCTGGATTTCAAGTTTTTTCGGGTGCTCTCGCACAAGAACAAAAAGCTGGTTAGACTTTGAGTTAGTCTGTAGTCAAATCTTCATTACTTTACGTACTATTCCCGTAGTTTCTACCAGAACGATTTTTTGCATGATGTAGGAGTGTACTTTTTCTTATTTTAAATTCTACTAGGCTTCTCAATGTGGCGCGCGGGACTTCACCAGTGGCTCCGAGAATGATTGGAATTATGATTACACTGTCTTGATCCCACATTTCCTTGATTTCGTTGGCTAATGGTAAGTATTTGTTAACTTTTGTCTTTTTTGTCTACGAATACCATATCGGGTCTATTGTTTTGTATGTGCACATCCGTGATGATTTCTCTGTTCCAGTACAGTTTTTATTGATCGTTATCTACAACCGACTCAGGTTTAAATTTGTAGTATGGTTCTTGTTTTGTCTCTGAGTCAAAAATTTTTTTGTAGCTCTTGGTATACCACTTTTCCTACATTATCTTTTCGTGTACTCCTTGACCGCCAGTGTTTTGCATCCACCAATTATGTGATATATTGACTCCGTTTCATTCCCACACATACGGCATTTGTCGGATTCTATTCTTAATTTCATTATGTACTTTTGGTAGTTCCGAGTCGCCATTATCTGATCTTTCTTAGGTTAAGTGGAGATAAATTCTTATCTATGTTTACTATAGTCGCATATTTATTATTATTATTATTATTATTATTATTAGAAGTAAAGGAACGCTGAGACTAAGGCACAATGAAAGTGTTTCTGCATAAAATCGGATTTAAATTTTAAAATATTTACAAGCTCAGTTGTATTAAGCACGCCAATAGCCAAGATACTATAACGAAAGGGAGACGAAGTTCTTTATCGACCTGCAATTTGAATCTACCTGCCTCTAGAGGAAAAAGATACTGTACTGTGCTACACTGTAGCTGGAGGGGAAGTTTGGTGTGAAACAATTTGCTACTTTCAGCAAAAGGACATGACAAGTCAACTTTTTGAAAATTTGGTAAAAAATTCTGTTCTTCCAGCAGGGGAAAAGAGGTATTGCAAGAATTGCTTGGTAATCGTGACCTTTAATTTAAAGATGCTTATACAAAAAAACTTGTTGAAGTATTAAGAACTAAATCGCATGATAATATTTATTTCATAGACGAGGTCATAAAAAAATATACTCTTTAAATTTCCATCTTGTCACTGCGATTTGAATACGATAGAAATGACATTAAAATCCCAAGTTAAATGGAATAATATAAACCGAAAAATATCCGCCCATGTAATTAATGTAGTTAAAACTCTGGGACAATTATTATCAGATAGCAGTATATATTTGAATTGAAAAATAATTATAAGTAAACATTCCTTCGAAATAGAAGGTAGAATCTAATCCGCTGCACGTGAACAGTGGAAGCGTTTTTCGTTATTTGCTACGGCAAATAACTTGTCATTAAACTTTTTTCCGGTGACTTACCTGCCAGCGAAGAGTCCGAAGTTGTTTAGCGAAAGAAAACGTTATTTGTACGTGCATGAGTCGTTCTTCGGTAATAAAAATTTTATTAGCCGACGAAACGTGTTCCGGCGTTCAAGCGTCAACCGTCCGATATTTTAAAATCTGTGAGACATTAAATAGGTGTCGGGTTATATCCAAACACCATTAACGGCATTAATTCGGCTTAAAATTTCGATCGAGATAATGGACTGGAATAGGTATACGGGACGC